GTGGAAACTTTGAGGTCCTTTACATGGCACTTGAGCTTTGACTCTGAAGCCCTGAGTTCATCTTTTTTTTTTCACTACCCTGTCTAGCAAATGTAGGACCAACCAACCAGCTTCCTTATACTTCTCATTATGACAAAACTGTAGAAAGGTATCAAAGATGCGATCACCCAGAGCCTCACTTTTCACCAATATCTGATCTGTTGGTGGTGATATTTTCCATATTTCTATTGCTACCTCACGCCATGGATTAGCAGTGCCTCTTTACTATTGGAAGCAGAGCCATCAACAGCTTTAAGACTAACAAGACTTGAAAACCAATTTAGAAAACCATCCTTACAATTTTGTTTCTCTGGAACCACTCCTGGTACCAAACGTCTTAGGCTGGGTTCTCTAGAGAAGCAAAACCAGTAAAGCATATAAATATATAGAGAGAGAGATTTATATTAAGGAAATGGCTCACATGGTTATAGAGGCTGGAATATAGATCAGGCTGGAAGCTTCTCCTGATTCATGCAGCGGCAAGGGCTGGTGAACCCAAGATGGACAAGTCACACAGCAGGGCTCTGGCTCACAAGCTGTGAAGATCCACGAATCCCAAGATCGGCAGACAAGACAGCAGGTAAGCTGCTAGCTCAAGTCTCAAGAACCAGAGATCAGACAAACCGGAGCCAGTTTGAATAAAAGCCCAGGAGCCTTGCCAGAAAGTCCACTGACATTGGATGCAGGCCACACCCCCAAGGAAACTCCTTTTCAACTGACTGGCTACTCACAGCAGATCCCATCATGGAGGTGATCACATATATCAAATCTTATCATGGATGTGATGATATTATTATATGACTGCCAAACTACATCATAACTGCAAAACCACTGAAAATCATGGCTTAGCCAAGTTGACACACAACCTTAACGATCACAGGTAAGCACATCCTCACTGCTTTTGTCTCCCACATTCTCCACAGAAAGCATAATCCTCTCTTGAGTTCTTCTCTTCTACTCTATTGTCTGATGCTTCAGAACTTTCAACTACTGAATTTTTGCTTCGATTCACAATATGATTCTGTTTTTCCTCACCACATCCCTCTACACCCTCACCCAACTCTTTAAGTGGGATTTTTCCAGCTCTACCCCTAGAGAAAGGTGACTCATCTCCTTTCTTCTATAGCATTTTCTGTTTCTTTAGAGAATCTCCCCATTCCATCTCTGACCCAAAACCCAAGTGCAGGGATGTGACTATACTCAAATGCTGTCAATCACCCATGCAAGTCAATCATAAAAGATCTGTCATTTTATTTCTAACCATTTGCTGTGCAGCTTGTGAGGCTTACATCAAATAAGTAGGAAATCCATGCTTGATTTTCCCTAACTTATTTCAAATTATTTCATGGAAGTCATGGTGTTTTCAATCACCTCATATGCATGTGAAAGCTGGACAATTAATAAGCAAGACCAAAGAAAAATTGATGCCTTTGAATTATAGTGTTGGCAAAGAATATTGAATACACCCTGCAAGAACAGCAAACAAATCTGTCTTGGAAGAAGTACAGCCAGAGTGCTCATTAGAAGCACTTCGTCTCACATACTTCGGACATGTTATCAGGCAGGACCAGTCTCTGGAGAAGTAGAGGGTCAGTGAAAAAGGGGAAGATCCTCAACCAAATGGATTGACACAGTGGCTGCAACAATAGGCTCAAGCACAACGACTACTATGAGGATCGCACAGGACCAGGCAGTGTTTCTTTCTGTTGTACGTGGGTTGCTATGAGTTGGAACTGACTAGACGGCACCTAATGACAACAACTGAATTGTTGACACATCAAAAAAAAAAAGGTTTTGATAATCTAATATTAAGCTACATTTAGTCAAATCTTGGCAGTAAAATCTCTCTCAAATGTTATTCTCCTTAAAATACCACACATGGTGTGGTGGACATCATTGTTTTCAATGAATTAAAATCCCTCTTTATACTGGGTAAAGACCCCTCTCCTACCCCTGCATGGTCTTGTGCGACAGCTGCCTCCCCCAATGACCACAGGAATGGGTCTTTGGCCCTGGCCCAGCCAATCATGGTACCCCTGGGTTTTAGGGTTGGGCACATAAAAGACTAAACTTGAACAGGATGAATCAGAATCTTTCCATTAGACATGAGATATGGCTGCTTGGGTGGATGTAGTCCTCTCTTCCTTTAGGAAAAGGGGTGGCTGGTGGTCAGCTTTCTTTCCCACAACTTGGAAAACTGTGTTTAGAATGGCAAGAGAGAATAGGCCAATAGGCAAGGAGAACAGAAAGAAGAGCCAAAAAGATGGGAGTATGGGGAGAGAGACAAGGGTTTGACGACATTATTTGAGCCTCTGAATACAAGTGTGCGTGAAGCAAGCTCATGCTTGAGCACCCGAAGGCAGGAGTTCATCTTGCTCACCACTTCGTCATCACTCTTGGCATATACTAGACACTCAATCAATATTTGTTGAATGGTTAAATAAACAAGCCAATATATGTTCTTTTTGTTTAAGTGAGTTATTTCTATTCCTTGAAAATGAAGGTACCCTGACTAATGCATCAGGATAACCCACCCCAGCATTGCCCATGAACATCTTCATCTCTGCGATAATTAGACGTGCAGAAGCATGAGAAAATGTATAGAAGTGACAAGTGAGCAGCTAGTTTATTTCCAGAAAGACGGGAATGTTACAATAACAGAATTTTTCCTGTCAAATTGTGTGGGAAGATACAAAGCTTTTCTAAGGCAAGAGAGATATTTTATAAGGTGTTTATTTACAATACTTTTGCAATTTGGCATATGGGGAAATGCCAAGTGCTATTTAATAATCTATACCACCTTAGGTAACTTTGTACCAGTAAAGTGTCATGTTCAACTAGTTAATTACACCTGGAACTTCTGTTGCTCTTTTATTAGTCTAAATCATAAAATTAAGTAGCATGTTAAGGGATGCCTGTATGCACTGGTTTTTATCCAGGGATGCACACCAGAATCACCTGTAGAGCATTTAAAACATGTGAATTTTTGTGTATGTGTGTGTTTGTTTGTTCTGGTTTTTACATGCCTGATTTAGTTATGTGTGGGTGGGATCTAGGCATTTGTATGTTTGGGATGTATTCTCATGATTAATTCCCACTCTATAAACCTGTCCAGGGTACTCCCAAAACTAAGGTCAAAATCTTGCCATCCCTTAGAGCAACAGGAAGCATTCCTTTTCCAAAGACTGTGACCTCTTCCTTGTATTTCTTCCTCAACAGTGGATTGCTTGTACAATATTCTTTCTTTAGTTCATTCAATAAACATTGAGTATCTGATATTGCCAATCAACCCACTAGGCATTGGTGATAAAAAGGCAGTTTCCTTCCTTCAAGGAGCTCGCATTCAACTGGAGGGAGACGGACACATAGAGGGAGAAGTATAATGAAGTACTGCAAGTGCGAGGACAGAATTGTGTGAAAGGTACAGTAAGACACAAAGGACAAAGTTACTCTACTACAGCATGTCACAATCTTGGGTGCATATACTGTGCAGTTGGGAAATGTGCAGGCACTCACAGACTTGGCATAACATAGTGGTCATTCATGCCTTGTGGTTATTTATCTATGAGCTGGCTCTGAAATGTGTCAGGTTAAACCTACTGGTTCAGTCAGGACATTATCTCAGACTTACTTCACCATTTGATTCCAGCCAACAGCTCCTTCCTTAGTCCTGTTTCTTGGAGATAGTCTTTTCTAATTCCTTTTTTTCTCCTCTCTCCCAGGGTAGGAAGTGTACATACATGGATAAGATGCTGTGTGAACACAGGGGTTGACCCACTCTAAAATGTCCAACTATATTGTAGGCCCTCTGAGGACTGCCCTCTCTCAGCTCCCTTGAATGAGCAAGGTCTTGAGCCTCACACCTGTTGTTATGCATTGAATTGTGCTAACGAGATGCTGAAGTCTTAACTAACCTCTCTGGTGCCTGTGAACATGGCTTTGTTTGGAAATTGGATCACTGAAGATGTTATCAGTTACAGGAGGTTACACTGGAATAGGGTGGATCCTAATCCAATATGAGTGTTATCCTATAAAGGAGAAGAATAGACACAGAGAGACAGAGGAAGGATGGTTATGTGAAGATGCATCTATAAACCAAGAAATACCCAGGGCTACCATGAGCTGGGAGAGATAAGAAAGGCTCTTCCCCTAGGGACTTTGGAGGGAGCCCAGTTGGCACCCTGATTTGGATTTCTAGCCTCCAGAACTGTGAGACAACAAATTTCTGTTCCTGCAAGCCACTCCCCACCAAATCTACTGCCATGGAGTCCATTCCAACACATAGCGACCCTACAGGAATGGAGTAGAACAGCCCCACAGGGTTTCCAAGGCTGTAAATCTTTACAGAAACAGACTGCCTCATCTTTCTCCCGTGGAGTGTCTGGGGTTAGCAGCCAAACGCTTTAACCACTGTGCCACCAGGGCTCCTTATAAGCCACCCAGTTTGTGGTATTTTGTTCTGGCAAACTAACAAAATAAACTAGGAAATTAATATACCTGTCAATCATTTGCAACCTTCTTCAAGACTTACTTTTTACTTAACATTTTTGTCCACAGGCAATTAGCAATAAACATTTAACATAGCATGTAAATTTGGGAAAAGCATATTTCTTCTGCATCACCCATTATATTAGGTAACAGATACTTTTGTTCTGTTCCTAAAAATGTAAACTAATCCCTATTTCAAATCATGATAATTTAATTTCTGTGCAGATCCTGTTTACAGAGCAGGGGGAGCAACGCAAGAGATGATGGAGGAAATGTGAAGTGTTTACTGAAGCAAGTTGCTTGAGGTTTAATAAGAATGAAACTAGCCTTTAGGAAAAAACTCATCAAGATGTTAAAAGTGGTTGCTCTGGGGCAGTGGGGGATATTTTTCTCTTTTTCCTAATTATCTGTTGTCCTCTAATGAGCACATTATGTTTTTAAAAAAAAAACTTACTTTTCAAAAAGAAACTAACCTCAGTTGTTCCACGGGTTATATTTTTTCTTCCTTCCTTTCTATGAGATGAATTTTTTCCATATTATTTAGTATTTTCTATAGTAGTCTTCTCCTCTGTTGATGTTTTTCTAGAAGAGAAATTAATTATGCCAATAAATGTTCTCTGTATTGACTAATGATGGTCTTTGGTCTGATTTACAGCTTATGATAACTTTCAGTGTGACTGCTGACTTGTCACTGTCCTCCAACATCTGAAGAGAGTCCACAACCCGTCTCCAGTGAGATGTCTTCACTTGTAAAAACAAGGTTTACTCTATGTAAGGGTCTATCTTTACGCCCACCTTCTCTGTAAGATATTTCTAACTATACAGGTCATTGAACAATTTCTTTTTGAACTTCTATAACATTATACTTATCACACAAATCGCTATTTATATGGTCTTAGATTCTGTAATTGTTTTATATGTTAGTCTTCATTCATTTATAAAGCATTACAGATTATCTACTGTATGCTAGAAACTGTGTGAGCACTAACGAAAGTTAATACAAGGGATTTCAGAAAACAAACACTTAGAATATAATATAATAAATACTGCAATTTATAATATACACCAAAAACAAAAACCAAACCCATTGCCGTCGAGTCAATTCCAACTCATAGCGACCCTATGGAACAGAGCAGAACTACCCCACAGGGTTTCTGAGGAGTGGCTGGTGGATTCAAACAGCCAACCTTCTGGTTATCAGCTGAACGCTTAATCGCTACATCACTAGGGCTCCATAAATACACACAGTGCTTTGCGAATACAGAGAGTAACTTACTCTTTGTCCATCAAGATTGTCATCTGAAAACTATGGCAGCATTACTCTTCCCGTTTTTCCCATCCCACACTTTGATCCCCATCCCCAAGAAGTTACTATGGGCTTGTTAGAATCCAGTGTACCCACTGGCATAGTGGTTGTAAGCAGGGCAAGCTTGCTGGCTCCTTCTCTCCTCAAGTTTTCATCCATAAGGTGAATGCAGCAGGCTAAGTCAGGGCTGCTTCTTTGGAAGGTATATGACTCCCAGTGTTCTCTCTTGCTGAGAGGTTCCCTCTTTTCCAGTTTCTTTCTTCTGTGTGGCCATCAACAGTGAGGTAAGAGTTAGGATGATGGCCAGGAGTTAGGGTAACACTCGGGATATGTACCTGCAAGCCTAAGCTTTGTAGTCCAGCTCGGAATCACATTGCAATCTGCAATGGCAGCTGGGTCCAAAATCCATCCAGCAATTTTCAGTATTCCTAGCATTTATATCCTTTGGGGAATTCATGAGGATGTGTGGCTGTGATTTAGAGTGGACTGAGTATTTTAAACGTCCCATTCGTAATACTATGGATATCCTCCCAATTTCTATCATTGGTCTATTTTGGGTAAAGATTGTGTTTTAATTTTTTTTTATAGCCACCTAAACAATAGACAGATGAATTAGGTACACAATGGATGCTCAATTTAAAAAATATAACTTAGTAGATGAAGGCATCTTCTCTGGACCATATTTTCATATACTAACTGAATTTAGCTTCAATTATAAGATGATGCTAAGATAATAATTTTTAAAAGAAAGTTCTCTGAGAAGAAAAGATAGGTGTACTATATTAAGATTAAGGCAGAAATTCCTGAAAGTTTGGAAGATTTTAATAAGCTAGTATAACCTCTGATGTGTATCAAAATCACCCATGACACTCTTTTTAAATGCCTATGGCCTAGACTTTTCTCTAGAGATTCTAATTCAGAAGAGGGAGAGGGGTACAAACAACATCTGTATTTTTCAAAGCCTCTGTGGGTGATACTGATCATGTCTAGGATTGTAAGCCATTGTTCCAAATTAAAAAAAAAAAAAAAATTAAATCAGGGCACCAAACTAATGCATCTGAAATGAGTCTGGTCCTTCACCTTTATCAACTTAAAGAACTTAAGCTTTTATTTAATAAAGCTATAATTGCTTAAAACATTTGGAACTTTTCTTTGGGAAGTTTCATCAAAGGTCATTTAAGACCCACCCAAGATAATCAGCTTTATTACTGCTTGTACAAATTTAGCTGGTTACTACTATTTTTTAAAATTTTGTTGTGTTTTAGGTGAAAGTTATCACCTCAAGTTAATTTCTCATTCAAAAATGGATACACACATTGTTTTGTGACACTGGTTGCAAATCCCCACAATGTGACAACATGCTCCCCCCGACCCCCGGTTCCCTGTGTCCATTCGTACAGTTCCTGTCCCTTCCTGCCTTCTCATCATCTTGCTTTTGGATAGGAGTTTACCATTTGGTCTCGTTTATTTGATTAAACTAAGAAGCATGTTCCTCACGTGTGTTATTTTTTGTTTTATAAGCCTGTCTAATATTTGTCTGAAAAGTGTATTTTTTTAAAGCTTAATCACCAACTTATGACAGAAATTGAGTCAGAACTAACCACCTCACACCTCAACTCCTTTTCTCTGCCCCCACAGAGCAAATACTAAAGTCTCCACTGTAGTTGGCAGTTCAAATCCACCAGCTGCTCGTTGTAAACCCTATAGGACAGTTCTACTCTGTCCTATATGGTTGCTATGAGTCAGAAGCGACTCCACAGAAACGGGTTTGGTTTTTGTTTTGTGGTGTAAATAGTTAATGCGCTTAGCTGCTAACTGAAAGGTTGAAGCTTCCAGAATACCCACAAGCTCCTTGGAAGAAGGTCTGGCGATCTACTTCTGAAAAATCAGCCACTGAAAACCCTATGGAGCACAGTTCTACTCTGACACACATGGGGTCGCCAGGAGTCAGATTGACTCCATGGCACCCGAAACCAGAAATGAATGAAAGCGTGACTCCACTTCCTTGGTGTTTACAGATGAGGCTCAGATGAGTTGCACTACTTACTCGTGGTCTCGTTAGCAGATGGCAATGTTGGGATTCCAACCCAAGTCAGGCCATTTCTGGTACTGAACTCCTCCTCACACCACAAACAACAATGAACGGTTACAAAAGTTAGAGTCACCCTCCGAGAATAACTGTCACTTAGAGAATTAAAAATAATGTGCCACATAGGGTTTAAAAGTAATTCTCAAAAAGGAGTTAAAAAAAATACTTAAAGCAACAGTGCATGACCACTTTCAAAAAGACATGTCCTCCTACATATAAATTCTGGTTTCTTAAAAATCAAGTCTTTGACTTACTGGACCAGTTGAGACTGGAAGAATCCCTGAGACTATTGCCCTGAGATACTCGTTAATCCTTGAACCAAAACTATCCCCTAAAGTTACCTTTTGGCTAATTAGCAGGTTAGCTCATAAAGTAAAGAATATCACTTTTGAGTACTGCGCTCTTTTAAAAAATCATCTGTGTAAGACCAAATGGTTAACAACTACTCTTAACCATAGATGACAAGGTTGGGGGGCAGTGAGACTCAATTAATAGGAACAGAAAAACCAAAACAGAAATAATAAGAATGTTGACACAATGTGAAGAATACAACCAATGTCATTGAAAAATAGGTGCAGAAATTGTTTAATGGGAACCTGTGTTAAGGACTAGGGCTGCTAACCAAAAGGTCGGCGGTTTGAATTCACCAGGCACTCCTTGGAAACTGTATGGGGCAGTTCTACTCTGTCCTATAGGGTTGCTATGTGTCGGAATCAACTTGACGGCAATGGATTTTTTGTTTTGCTATGTACAGTTTCACAAAAAAAAAAATACAATAAAATATTAATTAAAAAATTTGTCCTTGATTACATATATAAATTGCACAATGCTTTTCTCCACCTATAGGTGTGCAATGAAAGGTGTCAATGTACCGGCCTGAGTTTACTGGTTTCTGTCAGAGGATTGCCTCACTAGGCAAATTTGGCTCAGATTATCCTCCAAGGAAAAAAAGCAAGAGTACTTAAACTTTGATCTATAATTGGTGTCTCTGTTTTCACAATCACACATTTTTAGATAGCATTGTCTACCTAATTGCCTTTTGTAAACTGACCTGTAGAACCCAGAGAAATTGTGGTTTTAGAATGCATTCTCACCACACCCTCTTTTTAAGCCACCATCAAGAAAACATATAACGTTACGAATTCTTAAAAATAGGACAGTGTAAGAGGGCTATTGTTTACCAATCTCTCTTCAACAATCAGAATGTTACTCCACTTTGCTTCTAAATAATAATTTTGCTTTACAACATTATTTTTACTGCTATCATGTCTTCAAATAGAAGATAACACAGAATTCTGGTAAACAAAGAAGTGGATAAAATGAACGTTTTCTTGACTGTATTGAGTAACTTTACTCAGAACGGCTCCTTTGGATAAAAGTAAAAAACAATGAGCACTCAACTTTAAAAAAAAGGAAAAGATTTTCACCAAGATAAAGGTTTCTTTACTGAGATGACCAAAGTGAGAAAGAATATATCTTCAAACACAGAGCACAAAAGAATAATTGTTTAAGATATTGCGCAGTTTAAGAGAATCATTCTGCTTTCTTTTGATTCTGTTTCTTGTCCTTTAACAATTTCTTCCCTGGAGCATGGCTGAAGTGCAGAGGATTATGGTGGGGATGACAGAACATACTTCTGAAGGGACTGGCAGACAGTATGCGTTGTTTCCTCTTTGGAAATTTTTAATTCTTCCCTTCCAGAGCTGTAAAGTCTGCTGGATATCTCTTTTTTTGTTGTTTGTTTAATGCTTACCCTCAGTGCACTCTATTCATGCAAACAACATTTGACAGAAGATCCACAATGACATGGATTGACACAGAGGCTGCAACAATGAACTCAAGCATAGCAACAGTTGGGAGAATGGCGCAGGTCCCGGCAACATTTCATTCTGTTGTACGTAACGTGGCTGTGAGTCAGAGGCAACTCGGTGGCACCTAACAACAACAAACTGTGTACTAAATGCTGCATGATTCTGGAGAAGATGAAACGGCAAATATCTGATTTCCTCTCTATTCCTCTCAAAGGATCTCAAGGGCCTTTCAAGTTTTTGTGCATCTTAAAATAATGTTTCTTGCACCCCAGAATATATCTCTTGATCAAAATTGCTTAATTATTCAACAGTGAACTATAAAGCTAAGTTTTTGATCAGGGGGAAAAA